CTGCGCCTGGGATCTGGACCCACTAACCGGGGCCACCGAAGTAGAGCATGTGGAACTTGAACCACTTTGCCACGGGGCCAGCCCCAAACAAACAAATTTACTTTTAATTATTTATCAGAAAGGCTGACAGAAAAAGAAATTGATTCATTTGAAATGTGGTATTGGAGGAGAGCTCTACAATCCCCTGGACTGCCGGAAAAATGAACAAGTAGGTCCTAGAGCAGATTAAGCCTGAACCATCACTGGAGGCAAAAATGATAAACTGGGGCTGTCCTACCTTGGGCACATCATGAGAAGGCAGGATTCTTTGGAAAAGACATTAAGGCTGGGAAAAGAAGAAGGCAGCAGGAAGAGAGGAAGATCAAATATGAGCTGGCTTGGCTCCATAAAGTAAGCCATGGGCATGAGTCTACAGGAGCTGAGTAGGGCTGTTGAGGACAGGACCCTGTGAGCACCACTCATTCATTCGGTCGCCAGGAGTCAGAGCCGACTTGACGTTGATGGGGTTCAGGGCAGGCTGCCCCAAGGTGCACCACTCTGGTATGCAGATTATTTCGAGCTGAAGACAATAGAGGCTCAGACTCAGGAAGAACCTTTGACCTTCCCCCTCTAACTACCTACAATAAATTTAAAACAAAGGCCTGTTCGCAGGGCAGGCCATCACCATAGATAACTCTGGGTATAGGTAGACTGGGAGAATCCTTGCTAAGATCACTCTTATCAAAGTTCTATTTACCAAACATTTGCTTTCCCATTTCCGTGTGAGTTGCCTTCCTCCCCTTTGAAGCCCCAAATCACTACCCCAAACATCCTTGCCTGTAACTGAAGATATTTAAAGAGGAAGCCTCGGCCAGATGGCTGAGTTTCTCAGTTTCACCTGGGTTTATCCCATGTTTACATGCTATTAAACTTTGTTTGATTTTCTCCTGCTAACCTGCCTTTTTAATTATTTGACCAGCCATAAGAACCTTAAGGGAAGGGGGAAAGTCTCCCTCTTCCCCAACAACGCACATAATGACAAATGCACATACCACTGCGATCGGCAGCTCATTCATTTTGAGTGTTTTGAAGTGTTGTCTTGAATGAGTGCTGTGAATGTTAAATTCCTAACGAGAACTTCAGTTTCCTAGTTTATAAAATTGTAGTGATGATAATAGCCAGCCCTCGTGGTCTAGTGGTTAAGATTCAGCACTCTCACTGCCTCAGCATGGGTTTGTTTCCTGGTCAGGTTGTCATACCATGTTGACTGCATGTTGCTGTGATGCTGAAAGCTATGCCATGGTGGACAGGCTTCATTGGAGTCTTCCAGACCAAGACAGACTAGGAAGAATGACCTGGCTACCTGCTTCCGAAAAACTTGGCCATGAAAGCCCTGTGAATAGCAGTGGAGCATTTTCTGATACAGCACTGGAAGGTGAGAGGATGGCAAACAAACCCAGCAGAATTCCTCTCTGCTGTGTGCAGTGTCACTAGGAGTCAGAATCCACTCGATGGCACTAACAAAAAATGATAACAGTAAAACCTAACTAAACATCACATGCTCTGGAAAGAATTGAGTGAAGTTATGCCTATGAGAGTGAATGTACATTGCTGAGTTTGATGTGTAAAAGATGACTAAAGGATGCAAAAATCAAGGATCCCTAGATACATCCTGTGTGAGTCCATCAGAAACAGGAGGGCAGAAGAGTGCTGAGGAGTGGTACAACGAACCATTCTGTATCCAGTTCCCGGTAATCTATATCAATGCATTACAATCAATCTCAATCAGTTTCCTGTATTCACTCAATAAGCAAAGTTTTCAAGTACCATGTTCCAGGCACTCACCTACAAAACAAAATCAGGCAAGATCCCGGTTCTGAAATTGTTTATTATCTAGTATTATTTAGTTGGGGAAAGCAGCAGTACATCACCTACGAATGTGTGCTTTTATGCTAGAGGTGTGTCCTGGGAAGTGTTGGCGGCTGGATGGACGAGGGGTATTCAGATAAGACTAGTGGGCAGGGAAGGCTGGAGGAAGAATGTTGGAAGGAGGACTCCCAGGAAATGGCCAAAGGCATGTGAGGAGTGCTTAGGTTTCTCACTTAGGTGAGAGGAGTGGGAGCTCGCTGAGGCAAGCAATACAGGGTTAGCAGCATGTGGAAATGGGTTTCCTGTTGTCTTGAAATGAGGCAAAAGCCCCACAGCTGAGAACACACAGGTAAGTACTCCTGTGTTTAACAGAGAAGTTGCTACAAGATGTATCTCTACAAGGCTTTCTAAAAGGTAGAAGGAACAGACCTGCTGCTCTCACCCTCTACTCCACCCAAATTAAGTAAGTAAATGATTAAAACTCAAAAGGCATTATTTGAGGGTGTAGGCATCGTTATCATTGCGGGGAGGCACTATAGAGTACCCATTCTTGTTCCTGTGAGGAAGGAAAGAAGGGTGATTCCTGCAAAGCCAATTCAGAGGTGCTCAGAATGATCATTTCTAGAGACTAGAGATTGGGGGCGCCTACAAGAGGAGGAAAGCAGCAGGTATGTGCTGAATGAATTCTTGCTGAGCTGCAGAAAATGCAGAGGCCACCGTGGGGCTCGTCGTCACAAGGCAGTCTGGGAGTTCTTGGTGGAGGAGTGGTTTCATGGATGTCCCCAAGAGGTTTCAGAGGGTGTGCATTTGATCATAGAGAATGGTGCCCACTTCTTACCTGGAGATTAAAAGATGGGTGGCTCACAATGTCAGGGAAAGGGGAAAGGAAAGAATGGGGCTATCTACATTCTCACCATTTGGTAGTCTTATGGAGCGTTCTGTGAACACAGTGGACTCATAAGATAGCTGGGCTCCAGCCATCTTGTGGGTAATCCTACCAAGAAGACTGCCTGCACGGGATTTAGATCTACCTGTAAGAGGCAGCAGGATAGACTGCTGAGGCAGGGATGAGGGCAAGTTGGTGGAGGTTAGTCTTCATCAAAGGACTATGCAGAATGAGGTCCCTATGTAGGACAGAGAAGTATGCACAAAATGTGCTCCATAAGCAAGTCACTATTTGGACATCTGCCACACGGGATGTCAACGGCTGATGACAGCAATCTCTCTTACCTGAGATATTTGCCCCCATTCCTCCCATTTCTCCTCTGGGCACCAACACCTTGGAGATAAAAGGCAGACGAAGAAGCAATGGAGGGAGATGAGAAGTTGTAGAAAGAGAAAAAATGGAAATGATGTTCCTCTCTCCATTGAAAATCCCTGAGCCCAGGGCAGGCTTTTGTTGAGGAGAGCAAAGAAGTTGTGAGGTTGCAGTTTTAATTTAGAATGGATGAAGCTTTATTTATTTATTGTTTATTTTAATTCAGGCAATTACAAGAAAATTTCCAATTTAAAAAAATTTCATTAAAGTTTTCCATATATGCAGCACAAGGTACAGATATTAAATGAATATTTCTATGAAGTCTCACAAAGTAAATGCATCTCTGTAACCACCACCTGAGACAGGAAATACTACATTTTCAGAACCCAGAAACTCTTCATTATACTCCCTCTCTTCAAACTGAAGGAAGCCAACTCCTTGATTGCTTACATGTGGACAAGTATTTTCCTTCATGTAAATGGAATAATATATATATTTTTACATCTGGCTTTTCTTTATTTTTTTACTCATTATTATGTTTGTGAAACTCATCCATGTTGTTGCACACAGCAATACTTTGTTCATTTTCTTTGCTGTTTATGGTAACCCACTGTGTAAATATACCACACTTTTTATTTATCCATTCCACTGTTTGTTGGCATTGGACTTGTTTCTAGTTTGAAGGTTATCACAAATAATTCTGCTGTGAACATTCCTGTACATATCTTATAGTATACATATGTATACCATATATATGTCTTAGCTAAATACACTTAAGAATGTGACTTTGTGTCACAAGTTATATATATACATTTGACTTTAGAATATACTGCCAAATGGTTTTTCAAGTTCCTTGTCCCAATTTACCCTCCCTAAAGCAGTGTATAGGAGTTCTATTTGCTCCATAACTTTACCAATGCTCCATAGTTTCTATCTTTTTCATTTTAGCTATTCTGGGAGGTGTGCAATAGCATTCCATTGAGTATGAGATGAGCACATCTTCGTAAGTTTGGTCATTTAGGTATCCTCTTTTGTGAAATCTCTGTTATTTTCTATCGGATTGCTTGTCTATTGCTTATTTATTTGCATGAATTCTTTATATATTATTCATACAAACCTTTTTTTGGTTATATGAGTAATAAATATCTTCTCTGGCTCTGTGGCTGCCTTTTTATTCTCTTACTGGTGTCTTTTGATAAATAGAAGTTTGGAGTTTTAATGCTTAAGACATTTTATAATTTTTTTGTATGTGGCTACTGCTTTTTTGGGTTCTGTTTAAGATCTCATTTAATTTCCCAAATTTGGGGCCAGCCCCCTGGCTGAGTGGTTAAGTTTGTGCACTTTGCTTCGGCGGCCCAGGCTTTCGCCGGTTCAAATCCTGGGGGCGGACATGGCACCACTCCTCAAGCCATTCTGAGGCGACATCCCACATGCCACAACTAGAAGGACCCACAACTAAAAATGCACAACTATGTACTCGGGGGTTTTGGGGAGAAAAAGGAAAAATAAAATCTTAAAAAAAAATTTCCCAAATTTATTCTAGAAGCTTTATTGTTTTTCCTTTCACATTCAGGTCTACAATCCATGTGAATTGATATTTTTATGCATGGTGTGAGGTAAGATATATATATTTTTTTTATTCTAGCCTGACTTTTTCATGGCTGAACATGAGTTTAAATTACAGAAATGACACTGCTAGTCCACATGAAGTGGTTGAAAAGCTATGGGATCCGTCAAAGAAATTCTGAAGCTGCGGGAAGGGCGCTCCAACACAGCACATTTAAAAGTCATGGTTTGAGGAATATAAAGCCATTTCATTCGAACCTTCACAGGGTGCAGTTTGCTAAGTACATCAAATAATTTTCAAGAAGAAAAAATAAGAGGAAACTATGACTTCAGATTAAAACATTTTTATTTCAAGAAGCTTGTGGGATATTAAAGTCAATTTGCTCTTGAAGTTAATAAAAGAAAATGCTTCCCAGTGACAGCTAGGCAGTGACAGCTAGGAAGGACAAGGTTCTGGCTGAGGCTGGAAGCCCTGAATTCATAGTGCTCAGTCAGCGGTAGTCTATGATTTTCTGTAACCACTTTAAGAAACTTGGTAATGGACTGCCACGTCATTTCCTTTGTGTTTGGCTACAAGATAGTAGTTAGCACTGAGGCCCCAACTGCTGAGCTCAAGTACAATGTCATTTATAGAGAGGAAGCCCCTGCTATTGCTATAGCAATCAAGAATTTCTGGTATATAGAACAGGATCTTTCTGGTTTGAAATAACTGCTCTAATCTTTGTAAAGATAAGTCTATCTCTACGTCTTGGGTGGGATCACTTCATACCTACCACTTGTAAATATAAAATGAATTTCTGCCCATTTGAAGTCTCTTCTCCTTATGTACCCATCTGCAATCTCGTCTTCTAGAAATAGCTGTCTGCTGGCTCTCCGCTCCCTGGAGTCCCCTCGTTTACACGAGTCTAATCTTACTAATCTTTCTGAGGAGCCTCTCTCTGTCTCTCTCTCATCCTCTTTCTCTCATCTTTCAGTCACCCTTGACTTGGCTAGTCCTTAGACACTGTAGATATTTTCTTTTGTAGACACAAATGCATAGTTGTTGAGTTTTTATTCATAAGATAGTTATATAACAATTACTAAGTGTCATGTGCTATGTTCCAAGTGTTTTGCAAATACAAACTTTTGATTTTTCATAACAACTTTATGAAGTTGGTACGATTATTATTGTCATTTTACAGATGAGAAAACTGAGCCACAGACAGTTAAGTAACTTTTCCATGGTCATGCAAAGCTATATCTCTATATTTTCGTTAACAATAATAATCAACAATAAGTGAATTCAGAAGATATGAAGGACTTTGCAAGCAGTTTATATACACATTTTTATTTAATTCTCCTAAAACCCGAGAAAGATTGGTTCAGAAAACTTAAGCAAATCATCCAAGACTACACAGTTATGGGTGGTTTGGTTAGAATTTGAATCCATTTTGACCAAACCCAAAGCCCAAACTCTGTCCATTATGTTAATCTCCCCTTTCACGCTCTTTCCATAGACGACGTTGACAAGTGAATAAAGAGAGGTAAGAGGAGTTACAAGACATAGTGTCACTCAGATCCCGCTTGTCTGTGTCTTAGTACACACTATTTCCAAATTGCAGGTAAAGTACTGAGGAAGAGTGACCTGTCCAAGATTATGTGGCAAGGCTGGGATTCGAAGCCAGGCTTTTGGGCTTCTGTCTGTCATTATACTGTCTCCCGGTGTCTTGATTTAAGTTTCCTCTGAAGCAGATATTTAACAGGGATTCTAGAGAAACCAGAGGTGATCCCCAAAATGAAGGTAAGAGTGTGGGCAGGCGAGAAGGGAAAAGGAAGGAAGCCAACAACATGCAAGTAACTACCGGGTCAACTGGAGTTTAAGCCCTCGGGGAGATCTGGTGAACGACGTAAAACAATCAACTCAGTTATTGCTTGAGGCCTTCTGCTGGGAGATGGTAAACCTCCAACAGTCTGACCGGCTGTGGGCAGCTCCAACAGCCAGAGAAAGCCCTGGGGCAAAGAGACGCAGATGCTGATCTTTGGAGGTTAGGCAGAAATGTGGGGAATGACAAAGACTGAGGGGATGTGGGCGGCACCCACAGTGTTTCTGAAGCCTGAAATTAGGACATCATCACTGGTAGTTTTCCAGAATTCCACTGAAACCTAGGAAAAATAATAATTATCTGATCAAGGGACTGGATTCTTATAGACTCCACTTAAAATTGTTTAAGCACCGTGCAAATACTTCCTTTATAGTTCCTATGATAGTAGAGCTTCTGTAGGATAAAGCACAGTATTGAAAACAGTCGTTTGAGTAGTAATTCTAAAGAGTTGTTGTAAATGTTCAACAACAAATCTTAAAACTTTTGCCCACCTCTGCTTACATGTCTTGGTAAACTTTTCTTCTACACGATCCATAAATGCACTGTACGCATCCCGCTGCCGTCTATGTCTCTTAAAGAAGATGGTACAGAGGATGTTAGCAAAAGCAAACATGTATTGACTTTAATCACTGTTTATCTTTTTTTTGATTGTTATTTAGTAATCTTTGCTTTGAAAGCTTGCTCTGTAGGACAAAAGCACATCTGTTCTGCTTGGACATACAGGGCTATAAAGAGTAGAATTTGAGCTATGGTAAAAATATGTTTTCTCAGCATCTTTCTTATGAGTGTATGACAGAGTCCTCTTGTCAGCCCTTCTTACTTAAGTGCAGTTCACTCAGAATGGGCTGCTCCAAATGAGATGGGAGTAAATTTGGGGGAAATTCCTCCCAATATTCAGGCCTCAATTCACCATACCAATTATTCTTGTAATAAAAAAGAAAATCCAAAATTCTAGATAATCTACTATTTGCATTCTAAGAAAAAAACAGAGATCTGTGTGCTTTATTTTTTTTCCTTTTGCTGAGGAAGATTCGCCCTGAGCTAACACCTGTGTCAATCTTACTCTATTTTGTGTGTAGGTCCCTGCCACAGCATGGCTGCCAATGAGTGATGTAGGTCCCATCCCCAACCGCCCCCAACCCACCCAGGGAACTGAGCACGTAGAACTTAACCACTAGTCTATGGGGCTGGCCCCTGCATGCTTTACTGATTAAAATAGGAACATCTTTCACTATATACACTAACAGCAAATTAAAAACTCCTGCATTAAAGCAATTGTTAACAACAGTATTGGAGACATTTCCCAAAAGCTGTCAGGAAAGGGTCAAACTCACCGTGTAGGAACCAGATCTAACCGGCCACGGAGCTTTTGGTAAAATTAGTTTTGAATCCCAAGTGCGTTCCCGAGGCTTGTAGGTGATAAATCTTTCCATACTGTTCTTGTGTTCATCATCTTTCAGCAACTGGCACCCATGTGCTGGAGATACGAAGACAAATGAGAAGCTTAGCCATTACACAAGTCCTTGCTCCTGGTGTCTCACAGAAGGTGGTATCATTTTGGAGATCAAGACTCAGGGTAGTAAATTGCTGGACAATTTACAAATGCAAATCTAAATAAAATTTGCTTATCCTTTTTGCTATTTATGCTGGAATTAATGTCCTCCTTCTTCAAACTCCAATTCAAATCCCACTTTCCTTTATTTCCCTGAAAGCTTCTTTTTAATGGTGCTTTGTGACTTAATAGCATATTTTGCATTGTACCTTATGGTTTACTTAGACACTTCTTGAGGTCAGAGGCTGGGTCTTGTAAAATATCCCTGGCATTTTCTTCCATCGTGACTTACTCATAGAGCAAATAAGGGAAGTTGACATGTTCCATTTTATTACAAACTTAGACAAGGCTTTTATCAAAATAATCCATGCTAAAATGTGTACATTGTTTGCAAATGAATCATCTTAATTTTACAATTATAAAACTATTTGCCTCTCATTTTGAAAAGAAGAAAATAAAATTAAACTATTATCCCATTATCTAGAGACAATACTGTTAATATCTTATTATTTTGCTTATAATTGATATGTAATTATAATATGTAAATATAGCACACATGTATTATTCACCCTTGTCCAAATAAGGAATGCTGGACAATGCAAATTAAGTCTAGATAAACACCGTACAGATGGCACCATGATAATAATGATGTGTCTTTACTGTGTGCCAGACAACACGTACTTTACATCCATTATTAACTAAGGGCTTTCATGTGGTATAACAGATTTAATCTTCACAATAATTCTATGATGTAAATTCATTTATTACCATCTCCATTTACAGATGGAGAAACCAAGAGATAGACAGCTTAGATAATTTGGGGCAGTGAAGCTAAGATTCAAAGCTATGCAGCTTGCTTCCAGGGTCTATCCTCTTAAGCACTAACTCAGTCAGTTCTCCACACGCAATACATTGAATTACAAATTCAACTTCAATAATAAATTAAAAGTTGTGGGTAACAAAGTAAATGGATTGTTGCCATTAATTAACTGGACATTCAAAAAATTTACCATTTTGTTAAAGGTGATAAGTAAACAAGCACCTTTTTAGTTATATGTCTTTTTAACTATTAAAATATAATGCAGAAAGTTTATTTTTTTACCACATTTATAACTTTGCTATAATGACTTACCTACACTTAAGTGTTGTGCCTTAAATTTTAATCCAAAAGGATCCCGTTCATAAGTTGTCACAAAGTTCGGTAAATTACGTTGGTACTACATATGTAAAGAGAAGATTGTACTATTACTAATAAATCCTGCTTCTTATTGTATTTCAAATTTGATTTTTCCAAATAATAAATATTTCATTAGCAAAATGCAATTTTGAGGATTTTATTGTAGCATTTAAAACTAGCATGTGAAAATTTGAAAGAAAATCTAATTTTCTTTCAAACGGAGCAGAGCACTTCAATTATTCTTGTGTGAATAAATCAGAAATAGTATTTTAAATAAGAAGAAATTAAGGGAATCTATTCAAAATTTGGCAACTTAAATGCACATAGAGTTACATGTTATATTTCTGCAGCTGAACTTATTTCAGGGATATAAAAAACATGTTGAACACAGCTAAAATAATTTGCCGAGCCTGGAATAGAGTAAATATTGATTAATTTTAGTAAGTTATAAAACAAAGTAGGTTTTGTTTGTTTGTTTGTTTTTTTGGTAAGGAAGATTGGCCCTGAGCTAACATCTGTTGCCAATTCTCTTCTTTTTTTTTTTCTCCCCAAAGCCCCAGTACATAATTGTATATCCTAGTTGTAGGTCATTCTAGTTCTTCTATGTGGGACGCTGCCACACTATAACCTGAGGAGTGGTGCGTGGGTTCACTCCCAGGATCTGAACCATTGAACTCCAGGCAGTCAAAGCAGAGCTCATAAACTTAACCACTTGGGCATGGGGCCAGCCCCCAAAGTAGGTTTTTTAAGATGGTTTAAATGAGCCAATTTGAACTGAAATAGAATTTGTACCCTTCCAGAAACAAATAAAATAAAACATCATGTCTGCTTGAAAGTTGAATCAATGTGGCACAAAAGAGTGAACTTCGGGGGTCAAGCAGAAGTTAGACAGGGTTCTCTTCTTAGTGAGTGACTCTAGGTCCTGCATCAAGCAAAAAGGAAAATATTAAAAGTCTCAAAGAAGGAAACTCTCTAATATAAGATTTTTCAGTCTTTAATTAAATACAAAGTGAGGCCAGGTTAGTTTCAGAAATTCTTCAGTTGTTGGGGCTGGCCCGGTGGCTGGGTGGTTCTCCCACTCTGCTTTGGTGGCCCAGGCTTTTGCCGGTTCGAGTCCTGGGTGTGGACGTGGCACCACTCATCAAGCCATGCTGAGGTGGTGTCCCACACGCCACAACTAGAAAGACCCACAACTAAAAATACACAACTATGTACCTGGGGGCTTTGGGGAGAAAAAGGAAAAATAAAATCTTTAAAAATTCTTCAGTTGAAGTTCAATTTGTAACGATACTGACATCTGGTGGTTGCACAATTTTTATCGTGCTGCCTTCAATTCACTCTTATTTATAGAAACAAATTAATTTGATTAGGATAAAAATGTCCTGAGGCCAGCCTGGTGGTGCAGTGGTTAAGTTTGCACATTCCGCTTCGGCGGCCTGGGGTTTGCTGGTTCGGATCCTGGGTGCAGACATATGCACTGCTTGTCAGGCCATGCTGTGGCAGCCATCCCACATATAAAGTAGAGGAAGATGGGCACAGATGTTAGTGCAGGGCCAGTCTTCCTCAGCGAAAAAGAGGATTGGCGGCAGATGTTAGCTCAGGGCTAATCTTCCTCAAAAACATAAAGAAACAAAATAAAGAAAAAGTAAAAAAATAAAAATGTCTCTCATTCCTTGAATTTTACTTATCCAAGTCTAGTAACTTTACTTACCCAAGTTTTGTAATCTCACCCAAGTGAAATATTTAACTGAAACGATGACATTTGATATTTGGTTGACTTCCCCTCATCTCCAAAAGGTAGCATAATTCATTTGCCATAAATAGAAGTGATCAGATACCCCGAACAAGTAAAGAAGGTTATGGGCCGAGGCTTTCTGGATCTCCCAATTTTTATCTTAATAACTCTTAAGAGTTAACATTCATTAAATGCCTCGATATTCTAGACCCTGTTGTATGTACTTTATATATAATTGTCTCCTTCATTATTTAAAATAACTATATGAAATGTGTGGCATTTTTATTTCACGTTATAAATAAGGAAAGAGGCTTAATAACGTGTCTAAAATTATTAGAAAGTAAGAGAACACGGATAATCTGATCCCAGAGCCCACGCTCTTACCCACTTTCCTATATTTTCCCCCTGAAATAAATTCATTCTTTTTTCTAGCTACTTTTTTTTTGTGTTATCAGTCCTATTCTTTTTCTTCTTACCTGGCAAGAGGCATACTTATGTGTTAAATTAAAGACCTAAGTATAGGACATCTTTATATTCTAGTGGAATTATATTTTGACATCATTTGCATCTCCTTAAATATATATTCCCCACCACTGTTTTAAATTATAAAGCTAATTTTAGTCTCCATATTATTTAAATTGTTAATCCTTAGAAAAATTCAGTAAAGTAATATAATACCCCTCTTTGTCAATTTCCATTCATTCATCCATTCCTTTCACGAATTGATTTCATTACTACTAGATTGTACACTCCTGGCAACTCAGGCCTGTTCTCCAATCACATCTAAGTTCAAACTGTTCTCCTCAAAACTAGGAAAAGTCATCCCAGAGTCAGTGATTCCACCTGGGAGATAAAATCAGAAACATTAACCACGATCTTACCTCTCTCCTCTGTCATTTATTGCTGAATCTGAATTGTATTGTTCCCTGAGAAAGAAAGATGCAGCTTTATACCTATTATATCCACATATCTTTTTGCTCATGTAATAGTTGTTATAATTAAGAAATGAATTAAAAATAATATATATTTCCCCTTATCTTCTGTTAATTACTTAGAATCAAATGCTCCTATGTACCTGTCTAAAGTCATGTGGTTTTGGATTGAAGTATACACCATTTGGATATTTTCCACTCTTCACAAACATTAAGTTCGCTTTGTGTGAATCCACATGTGGGAATGTAGTTATAAACTTGGGAGGTGTGGCCTTCTCAGGATGCTTCTTTATACTGGGCAGGTGAAGCACTGTTTCTTGAAAATTGCTTTTTTTTCTCTTTTGTTCTTCCTTCATGGTCCTTGATGGTTTTTCTGGACATCTCATAGATTTATACAGTTTGTAACTAAAATCAGGAGGCTTTATTTCCCATACGTTGACTTTCATTTCAGGTTGTGGTGATGGCAGGAGATTTTTTTCCATTTGGCACTGAGATCTTGTGTGGGATGCTGCAGCCTCTTTGCAAGATCCCTGCCTCTCCTGCCTTTCTGGGCCTCAAGATACATTAGGTGGAGGGATTTTCACACGTAGGAATCTGCAACAGACATGGAAATTGGTGAGGTATGCCACTATAGCAATGATGTATTGAATATTTTCTCTCCAGGTTAGGGTAATCTCTGAAAGATTTATGAAGCAGAAAAAAGCTCAGAAATGACAAGGGGTGTGTGTGGAGGGGAGGGAAAGCATCATGGCTGCTGCACATATTTATTCAGCACCTTTGTCACAGCAGTCACTGTGCTAGGGGCTAGGAATTCAAAAATGATTAACTTAAAATTCATGCTCTGGGTCTGGCCAGGTGGCTTATTGGTTAAGTTTGCACATTCCACTTTGGTGGCCCAGGGTTCATGGGTTCAGATCCCAGGTGCAGACGTACACACCATCAAGCCATGCTATGGCAGGCATCCCACATATAAAGTAGAGGAAGATGGGCACAGATGTTAGCTCAGGGCCAATCTTCCTCAGCAAAAAGAGGAGGATTGGCAGCAGATGTTAGCTCAGGGCTAATCTTCTTCCTCTTCAAAAAAATTCATGTCCTTAAGTACTTGGGAAAAAGACATGAAAACAAAAAGTAAAACCTATGTAATGTGATAGATATTACAATAGTGTTATGAGAAGCAAGGAGAGTGGTCAGCTAACTCTATCAGGAAAATAGAAGTGACGTCAAAAGAAAAGTTGGCATTTGGACAGATCTTGAAGGATTATTAGAAATATTCCAGGTCGTAAAGGAAGGAAACAACATTTCACCAGGGCACAGGAAATATGTAAAATTTGTCATAAGCTAATTCTAGGATATCTATGGCCACCTAAACCATCACAAGCACATTGTAGCTACTGCTATTTGGAATCTGCTGTTAAGAATCATGGATTTGCTTTTTGCTGACCAAAGAAATTATCAAAGAAATTATCAGTACACTTCTAGGATTTAATGAATTTGTCAATATGTTACTGGAAATGCCAATGAATTTACAACCTCTTTGGAAAGAGGGATAATTGCCAGTTAAAGTATATTTGGCCAAGTGGAAATAACATGACAATGCTGGTTCCCAGGGAATAAGGACCTGAGGTGGAATGAATTTCCTAGTCTTATGCAAGAGTTTCTTGTTGTTTGATAACATCAAATAGAGGATCTTTAAAATTCTAAATGCCATTATGCAGTAAGCTAATGTTGTAAATGAAGAGAAACTACTTTGGGGATACATTGAAAGTGTCAACTTTTAAAAATCAATAATAAATACTTTGTAAAATAAAATGAATTGTTTTTCAAATTCTAATATAAATATTTTTATTTTTTTAAAATGACTATGCCACACTGAGAAAAAAGCAAAAGGCACAAGGTGGCAGGAGCATAGCCTATATATGTGAGGAGGCAGTGGAAAATGGTGTGATATATAAAGCTAGAAAAATCATTTTAGGTTATGTTAGCAAAGGTCTTTTATGTTAAGCCAAGGAGTTTTAATGAATCAACGCTAATGCAAAATTTCTTAACCAAGATAATAAATACAAGAGGAGGAACAGTTTATGGAAGAAGATCATCATAATAGATTTATACAAAATATATGTGCATTATATAACTAAAAGTTTAGGCCTGTGGCTAAGGCCAGCTTTTGCTGCAATAATGCCATACAATAAACTATCCACAAACTCAGTTGCTTACAATAAAAAAAATTATTTTTGCCAGGGGATGTGGGGAAGAGGGAACTGGGACCGACTGCTAACAGGTACAAGATTTCTTTTTGGGGTGATGGACATGTTCTGGAAATAGATAGTGGTGATGGTTGCACAAGATTATGAATATACTAAAAACTACTAAATTGTATACTTTAAAATAGTAATCAGTGAAACTATGTTATGTGAATTTTATCTCAACTAGAAAAAACAAATTAACCATAAATCAAGTTGGATAAATTTCAATAAACGTAAAAGACTAACTTTTTCTGGGAAACAGAAGGAATAAGTCATAGGTGTTACCTAATTGAGCTCTTAAATTTTGCAGAAAGAAAAATGGTCAAGAGAATGGGAAACCTGTGCAGCAAAGGAAGTAATCAACAGAGTGAAAAGGCAACTTATGGAATGCGAGAAGATATTTGCAAACATTTATCTGACATGATGTTGATATCCTCATTAGATAAGGAACTCCTACGACTCAATTGCAACAAAAACAAATAGCCTGATTAAAAAAATGGGCTAAAGGCTTGAATAGATATTTCTCCAAAGAAGACATAGGAATGGCCAACAGGTATATGAAAAGATGCTTAATATTACTAATCATCCCGGACATGCAAATTAAAACCATGAGATATCTCTTCACACCTGTTAGGATGTTTATAATCAAAAAAAACAAAGGACAGTAAGTGTTAGTGAGGATGTGGAGAAATTGGAACACTTTTGTACTTTTGGTGAGCATATAAAACAGTGCAGCAACTATGGAAAACAATGTGGCGGTTCCCCAGAAAATTAAAACTAGAACTGCTGTATGATCCAGTATACACTTCTGGGTATTTATTCCAAAGGAGTTGAAATCAGGATCTTGAAGGGACATCTGCATTCTCATGTTCTTGGCAGCATTACTTACAATAACTAAGATGTAGAAATAATCCAAATTTCCACTGATGGATGAACGGATAAAGAAAATGTTGTATCTACACAAAATGGACTATTAATCAGCCTTAAAAAAGGAGAAAATTCTGCCAGATGCAGCAACATGGATGAACTTGGAGGACACTATTCTAAGTGGAATAAGCCAGTCACAGAAGGACAAACACTACATCATTCTGTTTATATGAGAAATCTAGAATAGTCAAACTCAAAGAAACAGAGATTAGAACGGCGGTTGCCAGAGGCTGAGGGGAAATGAGGAGCTACTGTTTAACAGTTAGAAAGTTTCAGCTATGCAAGATGAGCAAGTTCTAGAGATCTGCCACACAGCACTGTGCCTGTAGTCATACTGCACTGTGCGCTTAAACATTTGTGAAGAGGGTAGATCTCCTGTTAAGTATTCTTACTACAATAAAAAAAAAAGATGAAAAAAGAGTGGTGCTTAATATTTGAGTGAGAAAACTAGAAATTCACCAAGTGTTTGAAAACATATTATCCTCTGTTGCTAAATAATACATTAAAAATAAAGCAGGTTTGATGAATAGGGAGCTACTTACAGCCTATAAAAATTATTGTAAAATAAACTTAATCATTAAAACCCCACATTAATTAACAAAGTATGTGGATATAAGGATGTAGGTTTACTATTCTCTCAGTAATGTTAAAAATATAAAGGGTAAGAAGTTAAATAACAGAAATCTTAATTTCCTGCTTCTATATTATACTGTAAACAATAGGAATGTCTGCATAGAATTTAAAAAGGTTTGTAAGTAAAAGATACTAAAAAAAAATGGGAGTTTTGAGGTTGGCAGTACCCTTCCAAGATTCTTCCAGGGGGAAGAGTACCCTAGCCCATATCTGATATTTTTATTTCCCTTGTCATATCTAGCTATACTGAGGAGATTGAAGCATGACTTCTCATAAGCTGAGGACATTTAACATATAAACCACATAATTAATTATCCTTTTTCTGATTTTATTTTCACTAAATCACCCTCAGATGATAATCTGACTTCACATGTACAGTAATCTACTGGAAGATAATGAGCTAGAAAGAAAATATGTATTAGTTTGGTTTATTTTTTGCATAAGTTAAGAAATGTCCATGTTTGGTTTTCATGTTGGGCTCTTCTGAACCTGGTTAATGTGACTTCAACCCTGACCCAACCAACGCACTAGGAGTTGATGAAAATCAAATCCTTGACAGTCAGTGGTTAATTTGTTCCAGGTACGCGCCTTCTAACACTCTTGCCTCACCCATGGCCCTACACATTTCTATAGAAACATATTTTTAAACTTCCAAGGAGCACTGAAGTCTCAACCTTGACCAAACTGTGAATATACCTCTCTCCTGCAGGGCTCTGAAATTTGGCTCCATGAACAGAGAAAGCGTATGAATGGACTGATTCCTGGTCAGGGTTTGGTAATCTGTTGCAGTGAAAAGAGACTGAGGTTGAGGATGTCAGTGAGTGAGACAGTGAAAGATCTCACCGGGATGTACAGCTGGAAAGAAATTGATGACAGGAGGATCACAAACTGGAAGAATAAGAATAAGTCAAGACCTTGGAAATCTAATTGATACAAAAAACAAGCATCAAGGCAGTAAGAAAGCTAGACAGCTGTCAAACTAAGAGGTTGGAGAATGTAGTGCTGGTCTGGACCTCTGTTTGACTAGGTAGCTGGGAGTGGACACGTGCTTATCAGTCACCTTGTCACTACTAATGCTCCTGTCTGTCTGTCTCTCTCTATATATGTCTCGGGGCTTCCTGGCTACCAAAAATTGTTCCTGTGTTATATTTAAAATGGTAATAAATTTTCCTCAATTTTGTATGATACTTCATGTTGCCCTTATCTTATGAATTTATTATTACATATTATTTTGAATAATATGTGTGTAAAATTAGGCTTCTATAGTATTTGAATCATGTTAGTATGTGTCACTGTAGTCCCGGGGCACCCCAGCAGAAAGAAATCAACTAGTGATCTAGTTGAATGATTGAAGACTGTGATGGCAAGGTCACATCATAATCCTCACTTTACATGGAAAAAACAAAGGCACAGAGAAATACAAAGTTATAAGATGTGTGATTGAGAAATTAAGCAAGGTAAACTAGCAATATTCTCATTCAGTCACAGATTTAGTGGTAAATGTTGATATTATAGAAGCTATACTTTGGCCAAGACATCTCAATGGAAATAAAAGATGGCTTCATCTGCATTCATTAGGCACAGTTATTCTCCATCTATGAAATTATACCTCTCTCCCAAGGACCAGTTTGAATGCCACCTCCAATAAAAGCCTTCTCAGATCTCCCCATCAGGATTTGTCTCCCCTTCTGAACACAGCGGTGGAACTTGAAGGTACATTTTGCCATGTACCATGTATTAAAGTTAATTATTTACAAAATCTGCCCCCAAATTAGATTATAAAATTATTGAGACAAGAATTTCTAAATTTACAAACCCTATTCAGGATTCTGCATATTTTAGGCTGTGCCATGTGAAATTCTTGTTATTCCACCATTTTTCGGCCTTACAAAAATGCAAATTCTATGTGGTTAAATGATAAGAAGAATACTAGAAATTCTATGTTTGTCAAATTCTGAAAATTACAGATGTTCCCTTTTTGAAAACTATATCTAAAATCACAACTATACAATTATAATTTTTTCTAAATGATGAAAAGCTTCTTCATAACAGGGGCAATATAAGAAATAAACCTTCCTTTAAATTTCCTCCTCAAATATTTTCTACTAGAAAGTCACAAAAATTTTATTTTTGATGAAGTTTAGCCCTGAGCTAACATCTGCTGCCAACCCTCCTCTTTTTGCTGAGGAAGATTGGCTCTGAGCCAAGATCCATGCCCATCTTCCTCTACTTTATACGTGGGATGCCTACCACAGCACAGCTTGATAAGCGGTGCATAGGTCCACACCTGGGATCTGAACCAGCAAACCCTGGGCTGTCAAAGCAGCGCACACGAACTTAACCACTGTGCCACTGGGCTGGCCCAAAGAAAGTCACAAAATATTTTTATCTGCTTTTATAGTCTACTAATTAGAAAGAAATTCCTTTGTTCGGTTAGCAAATGTGTGCAAATTTAAGCTTCTTTTCCTTACATATCTGAGTTTAACTTTGTAACATTAAGTATGTATTTTGGGAGGTAGAGAGAAATAGATGGAATGACATAGATATATACCTGGTACCCAAATGCTGCCAACATAAGAAAAGAATATTATAAAATAGGCTGCCATTAAGATCACAATGAACTCCACAGACCGCAAATTCATGCACATTTGTAAGTTTATAAGGAAATTCAGCACTTATTTCCACCTGGGCTTTCTCTTTATTAATATATTTTTCATGATTTCTTATTTACAATGACATATATAAAAATATTCTCTCATAAATGAACTCATCTCATATATCTCAATTCATAAAATACTTAGATTCCAAAGAGCCAGTTAAATTGACAAACTAGAATAATTAAAAACAAAAGCAAAAGCAGAAGCATTCCTTAGAAAATCGCTAACTTCACTCACCATATGAAACGGAGAGATTGTTGTAAAAATCTTTTCTGCAAGGCCGAGCAAGACTAAGCCGACACGTAGTTTATAAGGGGCGCATTTAGCCTTTACTTCACAAAAGAACCCAAAGTATAGTTTTACCCATCTGAGTTGCTAAGAAACTGAATTAATTTTCTAAAGGACTCCAGTCAGAGTAGGAAAAAAAAGTGAAAGCAGGCCCTCTAATTGTTGCTGAAAACCTAGCAACAAGGCAGTGACTCTTGCGCTGTTTTCTGAAAGGTTAGAAAATCAACATACTAGGAAGCTCAATACTCAGTAAATATCCAGAAAGAGAGAGAGAGAATAATTGCATTCCAGCGCAGTTTTACTAAAAAATATCTCAATAACTCACCTTTTGTATTTGTTTAGTAATCTCTCTTATAAGACAGTGTGAGTTTGACATTTTATATAAACATGATTTGAGAAGCAGTTTCAACTTAAGAAGTTTTGAGTTAATTTCTCCAAAGTTCGTTTTATAAGGCAAACAAAGATTCTAAGTTCTTCTTCCTAACCTATGGCTTAACCTACTGATTTCTGCCATGTAGTTTATGGAGAAAGCTCCGCTTTTGTTGATCAAATCCTACACTCAATGGTAATATATCTCTTGGTGAGATTTTTAAAAAACTTTTTGTTATAGAAAATTTCAAACCTGCACAAAAGTAGACAGAATTGTATAGTGACTCCTCGTGTAACCATCACCCAGCTGAAGTAATTATTAATTTATAGCTTATATATGCTTCGGATATACCTCCAGTTTCTCTCTCTCCTTGCCTGATATTATTTTGAAGCATCATATTTTACCAGTAATTATTTCAGATGTTTCTCCTAAAAGATAAGAATGCTTTTATTTTTGAAATATAAGCACTGTGTCGTTATAATATGTAAAAAACATCAATTCATTGCTATCGTTGAATATCCAGGCAATATCCAACTTCCCAATTATCTTATAAATGTCCTAAAAAATTTGGTTTTGCTTTTTTTTTTACAGTTTTTTTTTTTTTTGTTTGATTTGGGCTAGTTATTTACTCTCATTTGGTCCAAGGTTTCCCATGACCTGAGTATTAACTTCTCTTTTCCTCATATTTTTCTAATGGGGTATAAAATTTCCTGGAAAAAGATCCCTAATGACTGGAGTCTTGACTATTTTAACTACTGTTTCATTTAAAGTGAAAGTTTGCCACTGGGTGGCAGTGCATTACTCATAATGTTTTTCCAGTTTGTACACTGAGACGCAAAGACAAATTTGCCTGTACTGTTTTCCTCAATGTTCAATTTTATCATAATTTCTCCTCACGTAATGACAGTGGAGCAACTCAATTTCTCACAGTTTTTGGAAATAAAATTAACCTATCCTTATGCTTTCTGATTTTATTTCTCTCTATTTTTTTGCATTGAGATGCATGTGATTCTTTCTCAAAAGCACATGTTCAAGTGCCTATTTATGTGTAGTTCATTAATATTAGTTGTCTGGGATGACAAAATACATAGAACATGGTCTCAGATTTCAAGAAAATGATAAATAATTAGCTAGAAAAGATACAACCTATGAGAATGCATCACAAGACAAGGTGCAAAATGCCAAGTGAAAAGTTGTGACAGTTAGTCTCGTGGAAAATCAATGAGGGGTAGATCCCTGATGTTTGAAAGTGTCTCTGAAGATTTCTAGAGCGTCTAAGATCAATTCTGATCCTCGACGACAGCCGAGTTCTTAATAAAAAAGAGAGGAAGGGAAAGAGGTTTGGATGGGTGAACAGCATGAAAACTACTGGAATTCTCTTTAATGCTTTCATGAATGTTTTTGCGGAATTTTCTGATCAGAAAATATTATTTCATAGTTAAATGACTCAAGTTATATGTAGAAGCACCAAAAATACCTACTCTCAAGTAGATTATTTTTTGAGTGTATAATAAAATTTTACTGCACGTGAATATCTATGAGATGAGCAAGGATCTGTTGCTCAGCTTCCACAAAATTGAGAAGCTAACATGTGTGGCAAATAAAAACCCAACACTCTTTTATGTTTCCAGGTACTAAAGAACATGCACACTTTTGAAAAAGCTATTTGAATAACATATGTTGATACAAATGATTAACTTAAAATTCATTCTAGTAATAATCTTGTCATATAACCAGTAACTGTAGTTTGAAATAGTCCATAAGTAAGAGAGTAAAATAGGTTTTAAATTATCTTCAGAATAAGGAAAGAACAGGGAAAGAGTTTCCTTACTTGAGAAGAAGGAATAATATTAACGGATGCCGTATAGTAGGTAAACAGTTTAACTGCTATTTTATTTCCTTCTTTATCAAAGGGAGCAATTCCACACTGAAAATAACAAACATGAAAAGGAACAAATTGAAGCTTGAGACAGATGATGAGATAATAAAATACCACAGTTATTTACATGAATTCAGGTCCATAAAACCCATACGAGTTACATTTCAGAACAATGAGAGAACTGCAGGCAGTGAGAAAAGAGGTGCTACCTTTTGAAAACTTGGGGAGAGGACGAGGTTGTATAAGTGGATATCGGAGATTAGACCTGCCTGAGTTCACCCTTGACACAGTCGTGCAAGGCAGGCCTTTTTGTGGTCACCACCTAACATGTCATACAGTGTGAGCTAAGGAATGGATTTTATTAGGGTAATAAATTGACAACCAAAGATCAGGACAAAAGAAGGCTTGAGTTTTCCAGTCCTCCTAATATCCTCTAGGTAGGTGATGAGTACCAGGGCACGCCATCGAACACACAGTGGGTGAACATTCTGGGTGAGAGGAATTCTTCCTCCTGTTCTTCTCCTTTGTTACAGAGCAAATCTGAGAGCAACTTTATCAGTGGGGATGGGAGAGAAGAGTAAACTGACTGACAAGTTATCTGGGCACCAGCCTTACTAAGTTTGGATGCCAGGTGTTCATGGGAATGTCTGGGAAAGCCAGCTACTAGGCACCTGGTGACTTTTAACATCTTTTGTGTGAAATTGCGTTCCTATTTTTTTGAGGGAAAATGCTAACGATTCAGTGGGGATCTCAGATTGGAAGGAACTCATCTCATTGGAGGAGGGAGGAGCCCCCAGTTCCAATAGTCTCATTGTCCTGGCAGATGAGGGTGAGCTCTCAGGGGCGTTTTAGGACAGCCATGCTTGTTGCATCACAGAACCTCAGTAAATTCTAGAATAGGTTTTCTAACAGATGGTTGGTGATTGCTGTAGGCAAGTGACACTTTCTGATCACTATCAGAAATGGAGATCCATTCATGGTAAATTTATCTACAGAACAGGGCTACGTATGAATAAAATAGGCCTAAAGATATGTGTGCATTCACACCATGCCTAGGCTAAATCTGGCTGCTCTGCACTGAGCCTGAGATTGCCTGGGTTGGTGTAATTGATGTTCAAAGCTTGTCTGTTGATTTGTATTTGGGTCTTTTTTTCCTTTCTCCCAAAGAGCCTCTCAAATTCACTATGGTTAGAGACCTTCTCCTTCAGTGACCTATGTTCAAGTCACACCGATTAAAACATGCTCCCTTGATGGAGTGTGAGTGATGGTTCAGAGAAAGACTTATCTTGTTCCATGTTTACTCACCAGGTCAACCACCTACAATGCACAACAGTATCCCACAGCTGAAACAGAGTTTCAGTGGCCTTTCCTAAGGACCTAGGCAAAATGGCAAACATTGTCTTCTCACCGCTCTTTCCAGCACACCCTCAGCTTCTTGGTGCCTTCATTCACTTCCATCCTCAGGTGCTATGGTCCTTTTGTCATCCTCTGGTGGTCTAATTCTTGTTTTACCACCCCATTCAGTCTGTTTCCTTTTATAGCATTCAAAAATACTTTTCTACTCCTTTTTATGCTGAATGAAAATACTAACCCTATTCGTCATTCTAAACTGAAATATACTTTACCTCTTTTCTCAAAGTACTAATATAGAATTTTAGTTCTGTTTGTCCAGCTTCGAAACAGTAGAGAAATTTATCTAAGAAATAATCTCCATGCTTTCCACATAGTGGCAACTGAAAATTTTCTGGACTTCATAAAGTATTTGGGCCTAACTGATCTTCGCTGTGTGCTAGGCGCTGTTCCACGTGCTCTACACTTGTTAATACACTTCATCTCACAGCAACTTCTGGGAGTAGGTACTTTTGTTATCTCCTTTGACAGATGAGGAAACTGCAGGAAAGAGTCTAAGGGCTTGCTTAAGGTTATACACCTAATAAGCAGGAGTCCAGGATGAAAACCCAGTGAATTTGGCCTCTGAGGCCAGAATCTTAGTCTCTACAGTATGTTTACTCTAAATCAGTGGTTCTTTTTTGGTTTTTTTTTGAGGAAGCTTAGCCCTGAGCTAATATCTGCCACAAATCCTCCTCTTTTTGCTGAGGAAGAGTGGCCCTGAGCTAACATCTGTGCCCACCCTCCTCTATTTTATATGTGGGACACCTGCCACAGCTTGGTTTGATAAGTGGTGCATAGGTCCACGCCTGGGATCCGAACCAGTGAACCCCAGGCCACTGAAGAGGAGCATGTGAACTTAACCACTGTGCCACCAGGTTTGCCTCAATCTGTGGTTCTTAAAGTCTAGTCCCCAGATCACATGCATGAGTATCATTTGGGAACTTGTTAGAAATGCTAATTCTCAGGCCCTACTCAGAGCCTACTGAGTCAGAAACTCTGGAGGTGGGATACAGCAATCTGTTTTAATGAGCCCTCCCGGTGATCCCAGTGTCATTTAAATTTCAGAACCTCTGCTTTAGAGAATAGTGAGGAAATTGCCAGTATAGATTCTAAAATTTCTTTTATCTGGTTGCAAATCATTCAGTTTTCTTTATGTGATTTTATGACTAAGATTATTATAGAAGCTTTAACATGGTACAGTGCACATGTTAGAACACTTGGGATTACTGGTAGAGCTACAGAAATTCCTTAGAAAACTTAGTGTATGTTTGAAATGCGAAAACAAAATCCATGAATGATTTTAAGATGATTTAAAGAAAAAAAAACATTTTATTTTTCTTCTGTGAAACTATATATTGAAAAAACTGTAGTAGACCATAATGGGGAAGTAATATTTTTAAAAGTGGACATAGGCATAGACTTAGCAAGTTTTTACATTAATTAGTAAAACATCAGAACAACTAAGGGTCTCTGAAAATGCAAACAAATTTGAAAGTTAGGTATCATAATAGAGAAAACTGAGCT